TCAGTGAACTGGGGAGTGAGGACAGCACATCTTGACCAGAAATCCTTCAAACTGCACAACCAGAAGAGAAGAATCTCAAGTATCTTGCTATAGCTGACATTTCACAAGTCTCTGAAGCAGTGTTTCTCCACCTTGGCAGCTTGAAGATGTGTGGACTTCAACTGGGGAATGAAGGCTGGCTAGGGAATTCTGGGAGTTGAAGTCCGCACATCTTCAAGCTGCCAAGGTAGAGAAACACTGCTCTGAAGTGTTGGAGAAGCAGATTTAATGGACTCTGTCACCAATGGTTGGTTGGGCCTTGGGTCCTGTGGCCTCATTAATTCAATAGGAAGCTTTAATTCTCTGGAATGGATGGTTTGCAGCGGACCCCTTCTTTAGACCATATTTTCCCCTTCCTCCAAGAGATGCAAGCAGCCCCACGCACTTGGGACCCTTTTGCAGAGGGCTCTGGACTTCAGACCCCCCCCCCAAATCCTGTCCTCACCACACCCCAGTGTAGCACCCAGCTTCTCAGATGCTAATGGAGGACTTAGGATGGAGAGTTGCAGGGGGAAGGGCTGCCTACCTAACTCTGTTGATGTAGCACTCACATTTTCCTGGCCACGGCTCCTGTGGTTACGGAGAGCGTGCGAGGAGCCAAGGTAAGCTTCGAGACACTTGGGTTGCTCACCACACACACGCACGCAGACACAAAGAGACAGGGGATCTGTTGAGTTGGGAGGCGGCGTGCCTGCGGACCGGCTTGTCCGTCAAGACCAAAATGGTGGGTTGGTATCCGTGGAACAGATGCAATTTCCCCCCCCCCCCCACATTCCACCTTTGGCATTGAGACTGCTGGGGTCTTTGCACCCACCCGACCTGTTTGTCAGTCAGACAGATTTTCAACACTGGAGTCTCCCCCCAAATCCAGATGTTGACACTTCACCCTGATTGCTGAACTCCATGCTAAGCCGTTTTGGATCTGCGGGGTTGCCAAGTTTTGATTTTTTAAACAAGAAATATTGCCCCACTTAACCAGACAAGCGAGCCAGCTAGGCATTTTTTTTCCAGTGCTGTTAATAGTTGTGGATTGATTTCAGGTGCCATCCCAGTCAGCAAAAAGCAACTGATTTGTCTGGTAAGCGCCCCTAGTGAATTGCCGTTCTATGTTTCACATTGGGAGACTTTTGGGGAGCGGAAGTTTTAGCGTGAGAGTTTAGAACCAAGGGCTGGGCTCTGTTCCAGGGTCTGCCATGTCAAATCGTAAAGAAGGCAGCCTTTTTTAGTGTCCAACCATGCAGATGTGTGCACAGGAGCATTAAGGCCCCACAACCTGCCTGTTATATTTGGAACCATTTTATGGACCACAACATTTTCCAAGGGTATCTTCAACCAAAACAACTAGCACCCTCTTGGCTAAATTATTAGCTAAATTGTCTGCTGCAAAATAAACAAATATTCCATCCATAATAGACCTTCAGTAATGTGTAATAATATTTGTGTTGGGAGGGAGCTCAGGTGTGATTTGGAATCCAAATGAGGCTGTTATGAGTAGGTCCAGTTTTTGTATTTGTAAGCGTTCGGTAGCAATGCTACTTGCAGAGGGCGAAGGACACGTAAAATATGGCGATGGACTTCTCTATCATCTTTCAGTCCCGGAGGCAAAAGAAAATCACACTGTGAACCAGTGTAAGGGACCCCAATTGCTTAAAATCATGAAGATGGGAAGATGGATCAGTATCCGTGCATGGCACATAAAAACCAGGTGGAGTTTTGATCACATCGTTGCGGCCCCGTCTTGACTTTTTTGACCACCCCCCCGAGGACACCCCGAGAAGCTGCAGTAAGCATGGTGAGGGCTGAGTTTATATTGTGGCATCTTTAATCTTAGTAAAAAAAAAAGGTCTTCCCCTTTTAAAGAAACTTTTTATGCAGATGCTGGCGCCCATTCTAAGGACCCACCCCAAAATTTGAAACCGGGCCCTTCCCATCCACAGCGATAGGCCACGGAGGTCATAAAAATTGATCATGACCTGCTTCAGATCCCGAGGCTTTTCAAGGGACATTCCCCACCCTTCGTGAAGAACTTTATTTGCTTCGGTTGGGGCTTTCCCAAGTACATTTTGGCAGAATTCTTGTCAACGAAGTGACCGGTTCTTTGCGCAAAACGCAGCCGTGCTGCCCTGCATTGGAAGGGCACCAGCTTGGGGAAATTCTATGTACTGTGTGTAAATAAAGCAACTTTTTTTTTTTGTAAACCACCTGCCCTCCCCCCTGCCCCATACAGAAGGATCCTATATTTTTCCTGGTCTGAATATGGCAGAGAATTTGTTGCTGTAACCCCGTTGGTCCTTGGGAATGATTTAACTGGCGGTAGGGGAGGTCACAAGGGCTCCCCACTTTTGGAAGCCCCTTGGCAGAAGCAGTGCCCCTCTGCGCCAGCCGAGGGCAGCTGAGGTGTGGGAGGCTCTCTGAGAGTACGTGTCTGCAGGAAGTGCTGTCAGAATTGAGACGTGGCGCCTCTTAAGACACAGGAGCGACCTGCCGAGGTGACGGGTGACATCATGTCTGCTTGATGATGGTAACGCTCAAAGACACTTTTGTATAATCTAGAGCAGGGTTTCTCAAGCTTGGCAACTTTCAGATGGGTGGACTTCAACTCCCAGAATTCCCCAGCTAGCCTGCATGCTGGTTAGGGAATTCTGGGAGTTTCAAAGTCCACACAACTGACAGTTGCTGAGGCTGAGAAACCCTGCTCTAGAGGTGCAGAAAGAGGAGGGAGAAGCTGATCAGGATTTGCCCGGGGTCTGCAGTGTCCGGGATAGACAGTCACACGGCCCTTCAGTTCCGATGATTATCATGAATCGTGGGTAAACCTAGGTTTCAGGGCTGGCAGAGTGCAAGAAAAATGCCGAGCAAAAGAGTTTGCTGCCTGCATTCTCCCCAGTGGGGTTCGAGGCACCCGCTGGATTAGTCTTTTCACACGATGGTCTTCCTCCCAAAGTTATTGCCTTGTTTGGCTGCTGCTGATGTTGGATATTTGCTTATATCCAACAAATATAATATTATATTTGCTTATAATATGACCAAAATGTGGGATTAGAAGAGAATAACACCTAATGACAAATGGCAACAAAGAAGGCAATCGGAAGCGGGGAGATTCCATCGGTTCTTCTCAAAGCCTGGGTCTTTTGGACTGCTATGGCTCTTGACCTGATCCCAGGTAGTAGTCCGGTGCCTGGGAGCACTGTCTTCCTCAACCCTCCTTGTTGCTTCTTCCTTTTGTGTCGTGTCCTAGATCATCTTGCTTTTTGGTGAGCTGAAGCTGAGGCACGGGTTTAAGAAGGGTTGTACGTCGATAAATACTCAATTCTGGAAGGTGCCTGCAAATTTTAGTGGAAACAAGTACCCCTTTCTACCACCCTGAAAAGTCAGATAGGGGGAGGGGGCGTATAAGGCTGTTGATCCGCCTGATAACCTCCTCCGTAAGTCTGGAACAGATGTGTGCTGTCTCTATCTTGGCAATCCCCGCCTGGTGTTAACTTGGTGGGATCTCAGCGGACCGATGCTGACTGATGCTCCTGGGGCCTGTAAACCAAAATGAGCCGCCGCAGGGGAGTGGAAGGAGAAGGGGGGGGTGATGGCCTCCCAACTTTTGGCCAGCCTCCCTGGACTCTCTGCTGCTTTTGGCAAGAGGATGGAAAGCTACCCCCCCAGGCAGGGGGGAGGAATCCAATCAAGCTTCTCTTTGCTGGAGGGAAGCAGAGCTGAAGCAGCTGGCTGTTTGGGGCAGAAAAGGAGAAAACGCCAAGTCCCCTCCCATGTGGGAGGAGGAGAACCAGGCAGACCCCTCTCCGGTGCAAGGCTTAGGCATTTCTAGAAGCCTAAGTGGGGGGGGGGGGTCCAAAAGCCTAAGGTGGAGGGGGGGGTGCTGGAAAGGAAACAAGAGCTGGGAGAGGAGTCGTATATCAGTTATGACAAGCAGAAGCCAAAAACTCCCCATTTCTCCAAATATTGGATGAATAAGCCCCCGCCGCCCCCCATTTGCAGTCTCTGCTGACCTTAT